GATTCCCTGTTGCCTTCCCAGCTGATGCCACCCCTGCTCCTTCCCAAGCCCTGGTCCTGCAGCTCCAGAAGCATGGTGGCCCTCCGAAGTCAAGTTGTGCACCGCGGCCTGGAAGACCCTGTCAGTGGTCCCTCTTCTCCCAGCTCCTGACATGCTCTGCTCCAACAGTGCATTCCCCCCTCTCCCGCCCCCTTCTGTCTTCAGCTTCTCTCCACGGTGGAAAGTAAGAGCCAGGGCAGCAGGTAGTACCTGGCCTAAGTCAGGAGAGGTGCGGGTGAGAGGAAGGGGAAACTGCTGATTTTTCTTGAGTTTAAATCCTGCCGTGGAGCTCCGCAGAGCATCTCTTACCTCCGTGCCTCCTCTTCCTTCCGCGTCCTGTTGCAGAGCACGGGCTCTGGGTCGGAAGGCCAAAGCCGGCTCTGGAGTAGGTCGCTGCTCCTCTAACCTTCACTGTTTTCACCTGAAAAGTGGAAATGGCAACAATTATGCTGGACCTCATCGTGTTGCAGGGATTAAAGCAAATCATTAAAGGGAACCGTCCTGGGCCAGGCCGTTGGGGGCGCCCTTGGTTGGCTTCTGTTTGTTTCTTTTTCTAATCTCTTTCTTTTCTTTCCAGGAGCACAAAGGGGGCTCAGGGTTCAAAAGGAGGGAGCTGCCCCCACCCCCCTCCTTTTAGGCCCAGAGCTTCCACCAGAGCCTGGCCGGCAGCACAGAGACACTTCATCTCAGCTACCAGCCACGTGAACCAGACCGAGGGACAGGAGAGGGCTAGCTTGGTTAAGACAAGCTTTGAACATCTCCTCTCCAAAAACTGTTTCATTTCCACTTAAATTCCTTTTGGATGCTAAACGTTTACCGAGTATCCCTGCAGTTCCAGGCACTTTACACATGTCATGTTTTATAATCCTCTCCATATGCCTGAGCAATTAAATATTATCCCTACCATTTTATGGATGGGAAAACCAAGTTCCAAGAGGTCTTGTGCCTTATTTGAGGCCACACAGGCCTGTCTGGCTCAAGCCATGTTCTTTTTGTCATACAAGGTTGTCTGAGAGCCACTCACTCCCTCTGGAGGGAGGCAAATTTCTGGATTAGCATTCAGTCCATGCCCTGGTTATGCTCCCCTGTCTGGTGGTGCAGGAACAGGCAGTGCAGCTCCTCGAGGCATCTCTGACTCTCTCCCTGGGGATCAGGTACCCGTTTGGGTCAGTCATCCATTCCTTCTTGCCCCCGTGACAGCAGTCTGCTTCTGTCCCATTGCCACTTGCCTGTCAGTGCACAGTTGAAAGGTATACACAGATGATGGATGACAGGTTGTGTTATTTTATTATTATTATTTTATCTAGAAAGCTCGCATGGAGAGAGAAATCATTTATCTATGCTTAGGCCTGTGACATTGGATGAAGTAGAGCAAGGAATGAACTTATTTTAGCAGGCAACAGTCACCTTGACATGCACTTGGCGAAGATCCTCATCCCTCTGACCCAGCGTGGACCTGAGCCCACAGTCATTGGGACCAGCAGCAGGGCGCCCTTCAGTCTTTGACGGGCATCCCACTCCTTCCCGCCTCAGGAGGCTGGCTTCCTCTTGCCATCCTTCTTCCTTTGCTAGTCCCATCCTTGGCCCATTCTCCCTGCCTAGAAAGGCTGGACCGAGTTCCCTCCCATTCTACCACAAACCCCAGCTGGCTCCCTCTGAGGAAACAAAACCAAGCCAAGCATCCCACACAAGCCTCAAACCCATCCTTGGTTTGTTCTTGGTCCCAGTCAAAAGTCATCCAGGAGGTGTGGGATGGGAGGAGAAGGGAGGGGGAAGCTGAGGCCACCCCAGGGAAGAGGAGCGTGGCTCAGACTGAGGCCCCCAGGGCTCCTTCATCCTCCCCCAACTTTCAAGGGCCTGTCTTTGGCTGTGATCACTTTGTCCCCTCTCTCCTTTTGAGGTGCCCGCCTGCTTTCTACCTCCTGTGCTGGGGCTGGAACATGGGCGGCTGTGGGGGCCCCACTAGGGGGTGCTGTGGGTAAGTGGCATTTATCACTACAGACTGCTCACATTTACTGGGCGACTACGGGAAAGCTCAAAGGATCATCAAATTGGCAAATACCACAATAATATATAATTTTTGCCTAAGAATCATCTGTTTCATTTCTATGCCCCTACTCTGAAGGGTCTTTTTTTTTTTTCTCACAAAGAATTAAAGTATTTGTAACTTTACAAGAATTAGGGTATTTATGACAAAAGCAGAGACAAAGTCACAGACATTTTGCAGCATTCACCATTCAGCAAAGTCTCAAGTGTCAGATCTGCAATGCCAAATACCTTCTATGCTTATATTATTTTCTGTTCATTTTGGGAGACCCAGTTGAGCATTAAGGAAAGGAGAAAGAGAGTGGTGATTTAGATTCTTTTTTTGAGGCAAAACTTTCTGTGTCCAAGAAGTTCTAGCCCTTCCGGTTCACTGTGATTCCAGAACACAACACGGCAGCTCTGGACCCTGCCAAAGACGCAAGCCTCTCACATCTTGCCCCTCAGAGCCTTCCCTAGTTCCTAGCCAACTAGGTGATCTCCTCAGACCTGAGGGGGGAGGTGAGAATCCTCTTCGACATTTTCATCACATAACCTCATGAGCTGGGAGCTGTATCTACGGACTTAAGTCCTGCTGGCTCATCCCCCTGCTGACATCCTACCCAGGCCCTGATCTCAGCCCTATACCTTTAAATGGCTATAAATTCCTGCCCGGCCTCTCTGAGGCCATACTGTGCTTGGGAGAACATGTTTCTGGAAGGCTCTAATTTCTGATCCACTTCTTGTATATCTTTCATGTCAAATTACAGAAAAATAAAAATTACTAACCAAAGGCAAGCCAGGTGACATCTGACTGCCCTAGATAGCAGTATGACCTTGGGCAAGGCGACTCCCCTTTGTGGGTCTCGGGTTCCTGGGAAGTTGGGACCGGATGGCCCTTAAGCCTCTCCCAGCTCTCTCGCCTTCTCAAATAGGCGGAAAAAGCACAAAGCAGCTGCTGGTTCTCATTCTCATCCTGCTTTTTCCTTATGCCTTAGTGTGTCACAAAGCCAGGTAGTGCTCAGGCTTTGCAGAGATCACCTAGGAGGTAGGTTCTATTATCAGCCTCTTTTACTATAAAGAAATAGCCAAAAAGAGGTAGGCGCCTTGTGCAAAGCCATTGCATGTGAGTGCTAGACCCCAGGACAGCCCCTTCACGGCTTTGCTGCCAACTTTGCAGGGCAGGAGCTACTGTTCTCATCTGTCTGGCTTTAAGACATCCTACAGTGCACAGGACAGCTTCCCCTCCCCCAACCCACCTTCTTCCACGACAAAGAATTATCTTGCTCCAAATGTCAAGTGTACATAGGTTGAGGACTCCAGAGCCACCCAATTCCATATCCTCACCCCCTTTCCCAGGGTCTTGAACAAGTACTTGCCCTGCATGGCATCTGCTACAAATCAAAGTTACATGGGAGATGCAAAAATCACTGTCATTTGGATCACGTGAAAAGGTAAGCACAGCCAGGCGGGCCTTTGCATCTCTTTTCCCTCCCACCCCTTCCTTCACTGCCAGGTCTGGGACCAGAGGAAGCTTTGGTCTCACATCACAAGCGAATGGTGTCACCTAGTGGTAGTAGAGTTAACACCGGCAGGAACGGCTTTGAGCAGGGCAACATTATTAATAATATATGGCTTTGGCTGTGAAGATTCTATGGAAAAAAAACTGAAGACCATAGAAATGAGAACAAACAGAGGCTATTTATTCAGAGTCTTCTATAGAAAGCGAGTCTGCCACCATCATTTGCATTTGTCCGAGACTCCAGTACAAGTGGAGACTCAAATGCTAGTTGGAAAGGTTTACAGAGAAAAAAAAAAGGCTTCAGGTGTGCCGTACTTGCAGGTTGTTGGCACAGGGAAGCTGGAGGCCGGGGCACCTCGTGTGATTGGTTTGGAGGGGGATATTTGCATTTCTTCGGTTGGCCCTGAGTTGGAAGTGGGGGTGAGAATTCCAGAAGCTGGCAGTCATTGACAAGTCCTGACTGTTCTGCACCCATTGCTACAGAGGCTATGGATCACATTTCTATGGTCATAATGGTCTGGCCAGTGTTTGTTTGTATATTCAGTCTCTTAATTTATTAGTCATTCTAAATGAATCCTTGCTGTTGTTACTAGTCCTGAAACAGGTTACATAGCTATTCACGTGAGAAGCAGCTTGACTACAAATCAACATCTGTGGTTTTTAAAGGCTGCCCTTATAAATTTTGATTTAGAATTCATATCTGATATAATTGTTTGTCCATGGTGCTTTAATACGTATGGCATCATTCTAACTGGCATTCACATGGGCCGCAAGAATCTCTCAACTTTACCTACTTGGGTAACTAACTCCTTGAGGCGCGGCACCTTCACCACCACCCTTACCATCACTACCGCCGCCATCATCACCACCGCCACCGCCACAAGCTCAATGGTTCTCAAACTGTGCTCTTGGGACCAGAAGCAGCAAAAGCATGTGGGAAATGGTTAGGAATGCAAATTCTTGGGCCTCACTCCAGACCTACAGACTCAGACACTGGGGATGCGCTAGCCCTCAGGTGATTTTGGTGGATGCTGAAGTTGAGAGACACTGCTTTAGGTGAATTTCTAGGATGCCACAGAGGCCTTAAATCAGATTTTCCATAGTGTATCCTTTCCATAGTGTATCCTTCATAAGTCTGTCATATGAAGCAGTAAGAGAAACAAAACAAATTTCATTTATCTAGATAATATAAATAACAATATCTGCTAACATTTATTGACACATGATGCTAAGCACATCACAGTTTCTGGGTTACTGCTTTCAGCAGCTTTGAGAGGCAGGTACTATTCTTACCCCCATTTCACAAGTGAGGAATGGAGGCTCTGAGAAGTGAGGTAACTTGTCCCCAAGGTTACACAGGTTACACAGAGCTGGGAATTGAGGCCAGGCTTATTTAGCTTCAGAATTTTGCTCTTAGCTACTGTTAAAGATATCGATTGCTAGAAATATAAGTCTAGAGCATTTGTGCAGATTTAGTTGGACTCCTTTCCCTAATTAGCATAAGGGGCAAATAGAGGCTTAAGGGGCAAATAGAGAGACTTGCCTGAGGTCACATGTCACCTCCTAATTAGTGGGCTATGATCCAGGGCCTCTGGTTTCAAATTAAGAACACGATAAGCCCTTTGGTGAATCAGAGGTACACCAGAATATTTCACACTCCTTTATGACAGAGTAGGTAAAAAAAAAACAGGGAGAAGTTGAGAAGGGAATAATTAATGGCTGGCCATATTTGAAAACAGTGGTGGAAGGGATGATTTCTGTCTTGGGAACCGCAAAGGGGTCTGCAGCATCTTGTAGAAATGGAAAATGAATCATTAGCTAACAACGCAGGAGTAGCCAAAGGCCACTCCTCATTCCTGCCTGTATCAGCAGCCCAGGTCCCCACATTTTCGGGAATTCCTTAGGGCTGTGGAGTTGCAGTCACACTTCCAGCAGCAGGAACCACTCATGGGCATGGGCTGCATCCTTGTTTCTCTCCCCAGGGCTTCTTCCCCTTGTAAGGCCCACAGACCACCCCCAGGTGACTTCCTTGGAAGCCCTTCACCATGGAAACCTCTCACCCACATGCAGATAAAGGGTTATAGAGGCAACTATGGTACCCAGGGCAGGCAGCTTCATAAACCCCGCAGGCAGAGCGGAGGACCACTGGGTCTGCCCTGGCTGTGCTGGCTTATTTCTAAGCTCCATTTCTCCCTGCCTTGCTCTCTAGAGCCAACTAGCCTTCCTTTGGTTCTTCAAGTTTCAAACAAACAAACAAACAAACAAACAAACAAATCCGCCCCCCCCCCAAAAAAAAAACCTCACACCAAACTCCTATTTTAGGGCTTTATTCTTTGTGTCTGAACACCTTCCTACTCCTCAAGGCCCCCCTTCCTCTCCAAAGGAGCCATATCCGATTGGTTCTCTCTACTCATTTCTTTCATGACTATTGCCACACGTTGCGTCCCCCTGCGTGGTCTCCTTCATAAATGGTGAGCCTATAAAGGCAAGATGTGTGTCTCCACGTCCCCAGCGCCCAGCCCTGTACCTATCTTAATTCACATTCCTGAGACTCTACTAAGATTAGATTCAGCTTAAGAAATACTTATGGGGCTCAATAAGTTTTAATTGAATGAGTGAACACGGCCTTTCAGGAGCCACTCCTCAAGATCCACACACTTCCCCAAATGGTTGCAGCCTGAGACTTCCAGCACCAATCCCCCGCCCCGCCCCGCGGCCCCAGTCCACCATCCCACTGAACTGAAAAACCGACCCGTGGTCAGAACCGCTTGCAATTCACGGCGCGTTTC